TTCTCCCTCCTCCTCTCTCCCTTCTTCCTCGTCCATCTCTCCCTCCTCCTCCCTCCCTCCTCCTCTCCCCTCTTTCGTCGTCTATCTCTACCTCTTTCCTTCCTCCCTTTCTCCCTCCTCCACGCAGCACCTCACTTCTTCCTCCTCTTTCCTCCTCCCTTTCTCCCTCCACATGTTGACTCGCTACTCCCTCTTTCCTCCTCCCTTTCTCACTCCTCCTTCCTCCCTTCTTCTTCGTCCATCTCTCCCTCTTCCCTTTCTCCCTCTTCCTTTCTCCCTTCTTCTTCATCCATCTGTCCCTCCTCCTTCCTCCCTCTCTCTCCATCCGTCTGTCCTTGGAACACTCCACCATCCAATCGCCTTTTTTTTTTTTTTTTTTTTGCCCTTGTTACGTTAGCGACAGGGCCTTTTACTCCGCGCGGCACCTCCACCCCTCCCATCCTCCACGTGTCGACTGACTCGACTCGCTGCCCCCTCTTTCCTCCTTCCTTTCTCCCTCCTCCTTCCTCCCTCTCTCTCCATCCATCTGTCCTTCGAACACTCCACCATCCAATCACCTTTTTTTTTTTTTTGCCCTTGTTACATTAGCGACAGGGCCTTTTACTCCGTGCGGCACCTCCACCCCTCCCATTCTCCACACGTCGACTGACTCGACTCGCTGCCCCCTCTTTCCTCCTTCCTTTCTCCCTCCTCCTTCCTCCCTTTCTCCCTCCTCCTCTCTCCCTTCTTCCTCGTCCATCTCTCCCTCCTCCTCCCTCCCTCCTCCTCTCCCCTCTTTCATCGTCTATCTCTACCTCTCTCCTTCCTCCCTTTCTCCCTCCTCCTTCCTCCCTTTCTCCCTCCTCCACATAGCACCTCACTTCACCCTCCTCTTTCCTCCTCCCTTTCTCCCTCCACATGTCGACTCGCTACTCGCTCTTTCCTCTCCCTTTCTCCCTCCTCCTTCCTCCCTTCTTCTTCGTCCATCTCTCCCTCCTCCCTTTCTCCCTCCTCCTTTCTCCTTCTTCTTCATCCATCTGTCCCTCCTCCTTCCTCCCTCTCTCTCCATCCATCTCCCCTTCTTCTAGTTGCCATCCGTTCCAAATTACAAATCTCAATCTGGCATTTGCAGTTTTTTTCCTCCTCCTTTTGGAATGTTGTTTCCGCAATCCGATTTGCTCATCGTTTTTTTTTGTTTTTTTTTTTTATTGCCCGCTGGAATGTTGCATAGCCGAGGGGGATTAGAGGAGAGAATGGTGGAGCTGGACGAGGGGAGAGGGACTTCGAGGGGCTGACCACCATTTTCTGTTGTGGCCTTCTCCTTGATGCAGGTGACAGCAGCAATGGCACCCGCTCTGCCGAAGCAGCTCATTGACGACTTGAAGAGAGCGAGAGAGATGACACGGAAGGAGGGCTGAGCACCATTTTTTGTTTTTTGAAATTTCTAATAATGTTTAAATTGTTTGCTAGAGAGAGAGAGAGAGAGAGAGAGAGAGAGAGAGAGAGAGAGAGAGAGAGAGAGAGAGAGAGGGAACCTTTCCGCTGAGTCG